ATCAGGGATGAAGAAGAGGAAATTAATACATTGGTGTCGCAGTCCGTCGCCGGGCAGTTTATTGTGCGACACCACATACGCAGTCGTAAAAACTGAGCTTGGCACAGACATGCACTGCGTACGTACGCGCGTACCTCCAGGAGTATACTGGGGGCCTTATGTAGTGTAGATCCTCATCAGTGGGATGGCCCACAGCTGGTGGCAATTAGCGGCCGTCTTGGAGTGAGGAGCTGCAGTCAGTGATACTTTTACAAGTTCAGACAGACTAGCATGCAGCCTTCTTCTTTCTTTACACAAAAGCTGGACTTCACATAAACCATTTAACATTTTTTCACAGTTGTTACCACCGGCAACAGACATGCTTTTAATACTAGACGAGCCTCTGTTGTTACTTTTATATCACCTCTGCCCAAGACTAATGTTTTCAAAAGAACAGCTGTGTATCGAGCTATTCCTTATTAGCAGAGCCCTGTAAAGAGAGAGTTGCGACACTCTTTGAACTCGCCGATACGCGGTCACGTGGTTCATGCAGCTCCCCATAGTTCCAAAAAGCTCATCGCTGTCAGTCAGTTTGAGCGGCTGCTGGCGCAACATAACACAAAAATCGACTTTTCTTACTTTACCTGACGTCTTTCAGTAATTATTGAGCAGTAACGAACTGATTACTTAACTGATTACTGATTATTTCACAGACTATGCATTTTATCAAAGCGTTTTTAGAAGCAGCTGATACATTTATCATTAAATTTTAGAAGGAAACGAGACTGCAAACACATATTTGTTAGAAAAATAATCTATATGCAATACAATGATCAATATAGCCATGTCAGTGTTTTATAACGTTACACACGTTAAAAAAAGATCAGAGTAACTCCTGTTATAAAGTTATTTCTGATGTTCTCTGCAGGATAATGCTCCAACTTGTCCTCCATGCAGTTCAGATCTGCTCCAGCTTACCTCAGAACATCTGGATGAATTCTTGATTTCTATAGAAGATATTAATTCAACCTTTATTTAAACAGGTTCGTCCCATTGAGCCTCGAGGACTCATTTACAAGAGAGACTGAATATAATTGTTGTATTTGTCGTTTTTTATGGCAACCAAGTACCTGATAACTGAGTTGATTGTAGCCTGACAACTATTGTAAAACTGTTAATTCATTGATTAAAATGTTCATTTAAATGAAACTGTTTCTAGTTAAAATCATAACAGATGACAAAATAAGTGTTAACTGTGCAAAAACACATTTCCAAACAATTTATTATAAAATATGTAAAATGTAAAGCAAGCTTTAATAAAGTACTTTTACTGCCATTTAAACTGTTTATTAATACATCATCTCAAGTCAGCAGGAGCACCATCATCATCATCACAACAACACAAAGTGAGAGCTGTAAATTTAATCTGCACAAACATTTTCAATCAGGGCTCAAAATGTTTCACTGTCAAAGAAATGTGCAAGAAAATAAACTAATGTCACTCTACAGGCACATTTAGAGAGAGGACAGTTCACAGAGACACAGTGAGGACGTGTGAGACTGAAGGAGGTTCAACCAGTTGTTCATGGACCAGAACCAGATGAGAAGAACAGCAGAACTTCCACTGACCAGTGACCTGACCAGTGATCACACGTTGTTCTAAATTAAACTTTGGTACGAACAGTGTTAAATAAGACATGTCATATTTTTATTGAACAATAATCTTCATTCTAACGGTGACGTTGTAATTTCAGAGACTGAGGAAGAAACAGAAATGAGGCGAGTGAGATGAGGGACAGATGAAAATGTGTCCTCAGAGGACGGGGACATGTCAGGATCTGATGATCCAGGATCAACAGGGCCAGGATGGATCAACAGGACCAGGAGGATGGATCAACAGGACCAGGAGGATGAATC